TTTTTTTCATCAGTCAACAGACACTTAGGTTGTTTCCGTATCTTGGGTATTGTGAATAATGTTGCACTGAACATAGGAATGCAGGTATCTTTATGGGGTGGTGATTTCATTTCCTTTGGGTATATACCCAGAAAAGGGATTGGTGGGTCATATGGTAGTTCCATTTTGAATTTCCTTAAAAACCTCCAAAATAGCTGTAACAACCTATATTCCCACCAATAGTGTACAAGAGTTCCCTTTTCTCCATAACCTTACTAGCATTTGTTTCTTTTGACATTTTGATAATAGCCATCTGAACAGGTATAAGGTAATCTCAAAATGGTTTTGATTTGCATTTCCCTGATGATTAAAGATTTTGAGCACCTTTTCATATGCCTTTTGGCCATTTTAATGTCTTCTTTGGAGAAATGTCTATTCAGGTTTTTTGCTCAATTTTAATTGGGTTATTTGGGGTTTTTTTTCTATTGAGATATATGAGTTCTTCAAAAACTTTGAATATTAACCCCTTTTCAGATATTTTTTCCCAATCCATAGGCTGCCATTTCATTTTCCTTATTGTTTCCTTTGCTGTGAAGAAGCTTTTTAGTATTGATGTAGTTCCACTTATTCATATTTGCTTTTGTGGCCTGAGCTTTTGGGGCGATATCCAAAAAATCATTGCCTAAGCCAATATCCAGGACCTTTCCCCCTTTGTTCTCTTCTAGAAGTTTTATAGTTTCTGGTCTTACGTAGGTCTTCTATCCATTTTGAGTTGGGTTTTGTGTATGGTATAAGATAAGGGTCTAATTTCATTCTTTTGTGTATGGAAGGTAGTTCTATTTTTAATATTTTGAGAAACTGCCATACTGATTTCCATAAAGCCTGTGCTAATTTACATTCCCAACAGTGTACAAATGTTCCCTTTTCTCCACATCCTCCTGACACTTTTGTCTTTTTTATAATAGCCATTCTAACAGGTATGAGGAGATATTTTGCTGTGGGTTTAATTAGCATTTCCCTGATTGGTGATGTTGAACATTTTTTCAAATACCTATTGGCCATTTGTATATCTTCTTTTGAGGAATGTCTATTCAGATCCTTTGCCCACAGTTTAATTGGATTGTTTTCTTACTGTTGAGCTATTTGAGTTCCTTATATATTTTGGATATTAACCCCTTATATAATAAGATGTATGGTTTCCAACTATTTCTCCCATTCTAAAGGTTGTCTCTTCACTCTGTTGATTGTTTCCTTTGCTTTGCAGAAGCTTTTTAGTTTGATATAATCCCATTTGTCTAGTTTTGCTTTTGTTGCCTATGCTTTGGGGGTCATATCCCAAAAATCTTGCCCAAACCAATGTCAAGAAGTTTTTCCCCTATGTTTTCTTATAGTACTTTTACAGTTTCTGGCCTTATGTTTTAAGTTTCTTAACTATTTTGAGTTGATTTCTGTATATGGTGTGAGATGAGGTCTAATTTCATTCATTCTAGAGCCATTTATTGAAGAGACTGTCCTTTTCCTGTTGTGTGTTCTTGGCACCTTTCACAAAGATCAACTGACCATAAATGCATGGATTTATTTGGGGGCTTTCTCTTCTGTTCCATGGGTCTATTTATATGCAAGTATGTCTGTTTTTAAGCAAGTATGCTTTGATCACTATAGGTATGTAGTAGATTTTGAAATGAGGTACTGTGATGCCTCCAGCTTTGTGCTTTTTGGTTCAAGGTTATTTGGCTCTATGGACTCTTGTGGTTCTATACAAATTTAAAAATTGCATTTTCCTATTTCTGTAAGAAATGTCATTATAATTTTGATAGGGATTGCATTGAATCTATAGATTGCTTTGGGTAGTATGCACATTTTAACAATATTAATTCTTCCTATGCATTAAAAACAGGATATGTTTTCATTTATTTGTGTCTTCAATTTCTTTCATCAATGTTTTATAGTTTTCAATGTCCATATCTTTCACTTTCTTGGTTAAATTTATTCCTAATTATTTTTTATTTTTAATATTGTTGTAAGTGGGATTATTTTCTTATCCTTTTTGGATAGTTGGTTGTTAGTGTATAGAACTGCTACTGATTTTTGTATGTTGATTTTGACAAGATCATGTCATCTGCAAACAGAGACAATTTCATTACTTCCTTTCAAGTAGGTAAGCCTTTTATTTCTTTTCTTTCCTAACTAACAAGTGGTGACAGTGGGCATCTTGTCTTGGTCCTTACCTTATAGGAAAATCGTTTCGTTTTCTACCATTGAATATGGTGTTAGCTGTAGACTTGCCACATATTATTAAATGTAAATGGATTAAATTCTCCAATCAATAGACATTGAGTGGCTAAATTGATTTTTTTTAAATGGCATCCAATTATATGTTGCCTACAATAGACTCATTTTACCTTTAAGGATACACATAGGCTGAAAGTGGATAGATGAAAAAGAGATATTCCATGCAAATGATAACCAAAAAAGAGCAGGGGTAGCCATACATAAATCAGACAGAATAAAACTTAAGTCAAAAACTATCACAAGAGACAAAGAAAGTCATTATATAATGATACTGTGGTCAATTCATCAAGAATATATAATAATTATAAATATATGTGTACCCAACATCAGAGCACCTAAATATATAAAGCACATGTCAACAGAACTGAGGAAGATGTATATGGCAATACAAAACTAGTGACAGGGTTCAATAACCCAATTTCAACAAAGGATAGATCATCTAGACAGAAAATCAATAAACAGAGGACTTGAACAACATCATAGTCCAAATAAGCCTGATATACATTTACAGAACATTTCCTCCAACAACATGGCACTTTCTCCGGGATAGAGCATATTTTAGTCCACATAACAGGTCTTAACAAATTTAAGAAGACTGAAATCATGTGAAGCATCTTTTCTGACCACGATGATATAAAATTAGAAATAAGTAACAGAAGAAAATTAGAAAATTCAGAAATATGTGGAAATTAAACAACACAGTCTTAAACAATGAATGGGTCAAAGAAGAAATCAAAAGGAAAATTGAAAAATATCTTGAGACAAATGAAAATGAACACACAACATATAAAACTTATAGTATGCAGCAAAAGGAGTTCTAAGAAGTTTACGTTGATAATACCTACATTAAGTTAAACAAAAAGATCTCCAACAACTTAACTTTGTATCTCAAGGAACTAGAAAAAAAGAAGTAAACTCAAAGTCACCACATTAAAAAAAAATAAAGATCATAGCAGAAATAAATGAAATAAAGACTAGAAAATCAATAGAAAACATCATGAAATTAAGAGTTGGTTGTTTAAAAAAACAAAAAATTGACAAACCTTTAGGTAAACTAAGAATAAAAGAGAGGACTAAAAAATGAAATTATAAATAAAAGAGGAGACATTATAACTAATACCATAGAAATGCAAAGGATCATACTACCATGAACAATTATACACAAATTAGATAATCTAGAAGAAATATATAAATTCCTAGAAATATTCAATTCAACCAACACTGAATCATAGAATATGTCAATAGAACAATAACTAGTAAGAGCAAATTGAATCAGTAATAAAAAGCCTCTATCATAGAAAATCTTATTACCTGATGTCTTCACTGGTGATTTCTACCAAGTTTTAAAGAACAATTAAGGATAATCTTTCCCAAGCTCTTCCCCAAAATTAAAGAGAACAATTACAAACTCATGTTACCAGGCCAGTATTATCATGATACCAAAGCCAAAGACACTACAAAAGAAAATTACATGCCAGTATTTCTCATGAATATGGATGCAATAATAGCAAATTGTATTTCATGGAACATTAAAAGGATCAACATATGCAAATCAATAAATGCTATACACTGTATTAACACAATGAAGTATAAATATTATGTGATCATTTCAATAGATTCAGAAAAAGCATTTGACAAAATTCAACATCCTTTTTTGATTAAAAACTCTCAACATATCAGGTACAGAAAGAACATATCTCAACATAATAAAGGCCATATATAACAAGTTCACTTGTGCAAATTTTCAATACAGACACAGAAGTGTAAGTAACCATAACTAACTTGTATAACTTGATCTGCTTCTTTGATCCCACATTCTTGACAGATTAACTAAATTGACTATTTAAATGTGTAAATCACATTATGTCAACTGCTGTTTTAAACTTGCAATGCCATCTCATTTCAACTTGAAGAAATGTCAAATAATGTACTTAACATGAAATACAAGGCCCTACATGCTCTGACCTTTGCCTCTCTTCTTCTTCCTCTCTATGCCACCCCCCCAAATTAGCTGCTTTTTTATCCCTGGAAAAATAAAATTGCCAAGTTCCATGTTAGGTCTATTGCACTTGTTGTTCCCTGCAGTGGAAAACTCCACTCTGGACTTCCCATTTTGTCACCTCGGTTTCAGAAAGGTCTTCTGCTCTATGAAGCCTTCCAAGACCAGAGACCTGGACCAGTACCTGCCCATTCTACTCTAGGGTTCCATCCTGCTTAGTGTCTCTGCAGCACACATTACTGATTGAAATTGTCTTATTCACTTATCTGTGAACTTGTTGACTAGGATGAATCGATGAATGAACAATGTGAAATATACATCCATCTTTGAAAAGGCAGTGGAGATGTGGAGGGAAGATATTTAGACGATGGCACTTTTTTTCCTCTGCTTGCTCATCTCTCCCAGTAACTTGCATCCTACTACCCAGCTGAGTACCAGGCTGCATCTATAAAGTTGTCCTCAAAGCATGACTGCCACCAAATCCCCCAGCCAGCCAGCCAGCAAGAAACCAACCACCATCCCCTGAGCTCACATGCCACCACCACACAATGTAACCAGCCATAGAATAAGTTTGCCTTGAATGTTTTCAAATAATTATGAAGAAAAATACATAAAGAATAACCTCTACCCCCTCATGTTTGAAACTATAATATTAAAATAAAGTTATATTTTACATTTTGGTTACCTTTAATATATTCGTGAACAAATAGTTGTGACAACACATTATAAATACATGAATAACTCAAAAAAGTCATATATTTTATTCTGGGGTTCTACTAACCTCATCTGTAAGAAGGTAAAACTTTTGCATGAAAAGGGCTAGGGGGAGGGAAAAAGAAGAGGGAGGAAGACTGAAGGGGAAGGAATCCAGGATTCTTCAAAAGTTCAGCAACCACCACAGTTGGCCCAGAGGATGGGAGCTTGGCGTAAGTCAGGTTCCAGCGATCTCAGCAGTACCTAGCTCTCAGAAAGACACAAGTTTGTCCAGTGGATGAAACCGCAGCTAGAGACCCAGAAGTTAGCAGTGTCCAAAGACATTCTAGGGTCTGGGAGGAAGAACGAAGTATAGCTAACTTGTCAACTACTACAAATTCAGCAGCATCCAATGGAATCACCATATGGGCTCTCTCATGCATGACCAGTGTCCTGCAAACTCTGCCAAAGCTCTGAGATGTAAATGTGACCAGTCTCAGCAAGCCTCCTACCACACAGCAGAGCAGTGAGGAATAAAGGCAGTCCGTGGGCTTAGGCGACAGGAGCCCAGCAGCACCCTGGAACTTTGGGAAGATCGGGAGGATTAGGGGTTCAGGGACTCAGTGGTGCAGGCTTGTCTATCGAAGCACCATCCTCAGGCTGGAGCTGAGCCTTAGGCCCCAGAACTGTGCAAGTTGTGTCCACCAAGCGCCTCTTAGTGGGAGCATGGAGAGTCGGCACCTGAGCGCCCAGTTCCTGATGACGACGACCGCGACCATTTCTGCTCTTTGGTGGGTGGAGAATTCGTGCCGACAGACCCAGGGTGGGCGGTGGGGTGGTGCTGGGTTGTCGGGAACTGTGGTTGGCCGTGGCCCCAGGCTGGGTAGCAGTGCTACTGGCCACAGATCCACGAAGGGGAGAAGAGTGCACAGGGGCACGGCTGCGGGTACGAACACTGGCGGCCACAGGCCCAGGGGGATGCAGGGCCCGGCGGGATGGGAGGTGCCTCAGGCCCAGCCTGGCTTTCCCAGGCGCTTGGACCTCCCTCCAGGTGGTCAGCTCCTGGCTGGCTGGCGCTCTGGACTCCCTGTGGTCCACAACTATCCGATCTTGCCCGCGTTTCCACAGCTCATAGCGCTCGGGTTGCAGGATGCGCACGAAGGCGTCCATGGAAAAGGTCACCCTGGCCTCCCCGCAGCTGCACTGCGAAGCCACTTTGCCATAATCGATCCACCGCGGGGTCGCGAAGTTGATGGCCTCCGCGCAGTTGAAGCCATGGTTGAAGCCAGCATGGTAGCCGTAGGGGAACGTCACCACGAACTCTCCAGCCTCCTGAGTCACGCGACTGAAGGGAATCCCATTGTCCTTGAGGACAGTGGGCGAGATGAGGGCCACCTTGTGCCTCAGGAAGGCCTCACAGCCCCGGGAACTGCCGGGGAACAGCACCCGGGCCAGGCGTTCCAGGCGCTGGCCGTGTTCTGGGGGCACCGCGTACCACGTCTTGGGCTCCCCGAAGTGCAGGTAGTTGATGCTGTAAAGGTCCATGTCCTCCGTGTGCCAAGCAAAGGTGGTCTTCCACATGCCAAAGTAGAGGTAGGGAGTGTTGACGCCTTCGATGACAACTCCACATTCCTGCTCCAGTAGGTCCTGAATGGTTCCCAGGTGCCCAAGGTTCCATTGCTTAGTATTTTCATCAAACAAGGAGCCACTGACATCAGCACCGTAAATTGGTGAATCATAGATGCGATTCTTCCAGTATTTTCTCTCCAAATCTTCAAAATTGAGGTGTGGTGGAGCCCGATATTTTTCACTGTTTGCCAAATGGCGATACTCCCCCAGGGTCATGGCTTTCTTCTTTTTATGGTATTGAGTAAACACCCCTGCCTGCCCAGAGGCCACCTGCTGGAGGGGAGTGGCTATTAAGATGTCACTGATGTCATCATAGGTCTGTCTGGCTTTCCACTCCTTGGGTGGAATGACCTTGGCTAGGCCAGCTCGGTGTGCACCTTGGGACTCCATGTAAGCAATATATTTATCAAAATCGTTAAACTCTTCTTTGGTTGGATAAAATATCATTATACTACAGTTTGGATTCTGGGCACAGTTGGCCTTAGACTTCATAGTTCAATGTAATAAGCAGCAAACTCCCAGTGTTTAGGTATGTTCTAGATAGTTGAGGATGCAGGAAAATACTACTTGTAAAAAATTGGGTTGTTGTATGTATGAGGTAGCAGGATCTACCAGCCAACGTTTTTGCAAATGGGATGATACTCTTTCTTAGGCTTATTGGTGCACCAGGGAGACTCCACTCTGGGTAGCAGCTTTACCCAGGGACTGATGATGTCTGTGCTTGCAACTCTGTTATGTTTCTCAGTTGCTCCCTGCCTCTGTTCTCTTGAAGTCTATTGAATTACTCAGACCTGAGTGGGTGACCCAAATATAGCAGAATAGGACTTCAGGGCAGTCTTTAAAATGAAATCTAAAAGAAAAAAATACCAAGGCATTAAAAATTAATGTTTGGACACAGTTATTAGGGAACTACAAATTAAATATCACAAAGACATATTATACAAAGAGAGGCTAACATTTTATAGGGTTGACAATATGAGTGATGGTATAGACGTGGAACAATAGGAATTTTCTTAGTACTAGAGAGAATGTGAAGCACAACAATCACTTTGGAAAACTATATGGACAGTATCTTCTATAACTGCACTGTTCCGCATGCCTAGGAAATGTGTATTGCTATGCCCTGAAAGTCATGCCCAGGAATGTTCAAAATAACATTGTTTCCAGTAGCCAAATGCTGTAAACAAACAATCCAAATGTTCATCAACAGCAGAATGGATAAGTACATTGTCATATATCCATACAATGGAATACCATATGGCAATGAAGGTAAACAAAATATACACAAAAATACAATAGGTTTTATAAAAATAATATTGAGCAAAATTATTCAGACTCAAAAGAATGCCTATTCCGTAATTCCATTTATATTAAAATGAAAAGAAGGCAAAGTAATCTATATCTGAAGTCAAGAGTAGTGGCTACCTTTGAGAAAGAGGTTGTGGGGAGGGCATATGAGCATCTCTGGAATAAAGTTAATCTACTGTGAACCTGTATACTGGTTACATACCCATCAGAATAGCTAATGGTGAGAACGGTGCTGACTCAGAGGCTCAGAGACACAGACACAGCTTGGGCTCCCTCTAGGTGAATTGGGACCTGAACTCCTCTCCCTGGTGGGGATACAGTTTGAACTCTGGGACCCAGAGGTCGGACCTGCAGACCAGATCCTGTGCACCCAGGTCTAGCATTGCCCGGGGCACAAAAGGGATATTTGTGAACAGCCTGCGGAGGTGTGTGTGCCTCCAGGGGCAGATCAGCGTCCTAGAGGGCAACCCTCCCACCAAAGGGAGGCCGTGCGTCCAGCCCAGGCAGCGTTTCTGCGCAGGGAACCTCCCTGCAGGCATCACAATCCGGGGAGGCATGGTGACGTGTGGTCTGGCCTGCTGGCAGAGGCCCAGGAGTAGCTGTGGAGTTGGGGAGGGTGGAAAGAAGCGAGGCCCGCTCCAGACTGCGGGTCTCAGACAGCCCCACCCCCACAAGCAGACTTTCTGGCTGAGCGGGACCATTCCAGCCCTGCCCTGACAGCTTTTCCTGGAAGCAGAGAACAGAACTTTGACCCCTGCTAACGACCTGAGGGCAGGCTTACCCAACCCAGCTCCGCCCAGAACAAGAGCTAATAACAGGACACAAAAACAACAGCATAGCCTGTTCCTCCAAGCAAGCGCCACCTACTGACAGGGACGGCATCCTGCACAGCCTTATCACGGCACCCACTGACTCATTATACAGGGAGTGGTCAAATCTCACCCACAGACACCACCTAATGGCTCAGAAACTAAACAAGGCGTGTGAATATCCAAACAAAAACCTAAAGGAAAGAAACAACAACTGATCGACATGGGAAGAAATCAGCGAAGGAACTCAGGAAATATGAAGAACCAAACGGAAAACACACCCCCAAAGAGGAGCACCAGCCCCCTAGAAACGGACACCAACCCAAATCAGGCAACCAAAATGACAGAAGAGGAATTCCGTATGTGCATCATAAGAACACTCACAGAGCTGCAACAACAACTCAATAACCAACACAAAGAAACCACAAAAAGCCTCCAGGATCTGGAAAAAGAAATGGACGCAATGAAGAAAAGTTTAACCGAACTCCTGGAAATGCAGAATAAATTCAGAGAACTACAAAATACAGTGGAAAGTCTCAAGAACAGGGTAGATCAAACAGAAGAAAGAATCTCAGAGCTTGAAGATAACACCCTCCAACTAAATAAAACCATCACAGAGATAGAGCAGAGAAACAAGAGAAAAGAGCAAAGCCTACAAGAGATGTGGGATTATGTGAAGAAACCTAATGTGAGGGTCATAGGGTTGCCAGAAGGGGAAGAAGACAACACCCAAGGGTTGGACAAGCTATTTGAAGATATAATAGAGGAAAATTTCCCAGGCCTTGCTCAAAATCTCGATATACAAGTTCAAGAAGCTCAGAGGACCCCTGGGAGATTCAATGCAAACAGGAAGATGTCACGACATGCAGTCATCAGACTGACCAAAATATTAACTAAAGAGGCCCTTCTAAGAGCTGTAAGACGAAAGAAGCAAGTGACATACAAGGGAAAGCCAATTCGAATAACACCATACTTCTCTAATGAGACTTTACAAGCAAGGAGAGACTGGGGTCCCATTCTCACTCTTCTGAAACAAAACAATGCCCAGCCTAGAATCTTCTTCCCTGCAAAACTAAGCTTCATATATGAAGGAGAAATAAAGACATTCTCAGACAAGGAAAGTCTCAGAGAATTCACCAAGACAAGACCAGCCCTACAAGAAGTACTCAAAACAGTGCTACGCACGGAACAACATAATAAAAACTCACGAATATAAAAACAACCAAAACCAAAGGATTAAAGGCCAGATAATTCAATGGCTCAAGAGAGAAATCAAAGCAACAACATCCAACCCAACAGAATGAACAGTAATCTACCTTACCTATCAGTTCTCTCAATAAATGTGAATGGCTTAAACTCTCCACTCAAGAGACATAGGCTGGCTGAATGGATAAGAAAATACAGGCCAAGTCTATGCTGTCTTCAGGAAACACATCTAACCTGCAAGGATGCATACAGACTAAAAGTAAAAGGGTGGAGATCAGTATTCCAGGCAAGTGGAAGCCAAAAGAAGGCTGGCGGGGCAGTTCTAATTTCAGACAATTTAGTTTTTAAATCAACAAAAGTAGTGAAAGACAAAGAGGGTCATTGTATAATGGTGAAGGGCACAGTTCAACAAGAAGAGATAACAATTTTAAATATATATGCACCCAACTTAGGTGCACCCAGTTTCATAAAGCAAACCTTACTGGATCTAAGCAAAAGGATTAATAGCAACTCCATAATCACCAGAGATTTCAATACCCTACTGACGGCACAAGACAGATCCTCCAAACAGAAAATTAATAAAGAAATAATGGATTTAAACAAAACCCTGGAACAACTGGGTCTGACTGACATCTACAGGACATTCTACCCAAAATCCACTGAATATACATTCTTCTCATCAGCTCACGGGACATTCTCTAAGATTGACCATATCCTAGAGATTTACACAAAGTAAATCTCAAGAAATTTAAAAAAATAGAAATCATACTATGTACCTTCTCAGATCTCAGTGGAATAAAAGTATAAATCAACCCTAACAGAAACTCACATTTCTACACAAAAACGTGGAAATTAAACAACCTCCTACTAAATGATTACTTCATAAATGAAGAAATCAAGATGGAAATTAAAAAATTCTATACTCCTACACTGCTGGTGGGACTTCAAATTAGTTCAACCTCTGTGGAAAGCAATATGGAGATACCTTAAAGTGATACAAGTGAATCTACCATTTGATCCAGCAATCCCATTGCTGGGCATCTACCCAAAAGATCCAATGACACTCTACAAAAAAGACACCTGCACTCGAATGTTTATAGCAGCACAATTCATAATTGCAAGGCTGTGGAAACAGCCCAAGTGTCCATCAATCCAAGAATGGAATAATAAAATGTGGTATATGTATACCATGGAGTACTATTCAGCTCTAAGAAACAATGGTGATATAGCACATCTCATATTTTCCTGGTTAGAGCTTGAACCCATACTATTAAGTGAAGTTTCCCAAGAATGGAAAAACAAGCACCACATATACTCACCAGCAAATTGGTATTAACTGAAAAGCACCTAAGTGGTCACATAGGTACTGCAGTAATAGGGTATTGGGCAGGGGGAAGGGGGGCGGGTATATACATATATAATGAGTGAGATGTGCACCATCTGTGAGATGGTCATGCTGGAGACTCAGACTTGTGGGGGGAGGGGGAGAAATGGGCATTTATTGAAACCTTAAAATCTGTACCCCCATAATATGCCGAAATAAAAAAATAAAAAAAAGAATAGCTAATGGTGATAATACATCAAGCTATGATGATGTTCACAAATTTCTGTATATGTGAATTTAAAAATAGAGCATAGAGAAAAGGCATTAAAAACTACTAAGAGGTATATTTCACTGTATTAAAAGGAAAAGTGATTGAAAATAAATGAACTAATAAATGAACATTCAATTGACGAAGGCAACAAATTAGAATTAGAGAAAGAAGGAATGAATAACAAAAAATAAAGATGAAGTGTTTCCTAACTCATACTGTGTGTATTTGTTCCTTATGCCTTGCATAACTGGTAGCAGCCTTACATGGACCAATCTAGCGTGAAAGAATTTTTCCCCATAAAGGAGGGCCATCAAAAAGATATGAAGTAGCAAAATAGTAAGGTTCCATCCTAAGGGTTAAGATTTTTTAAGGAAAGTATAACTGAGGGAGAGGACACGGGTGTTGATGATTTTGGTGGAGGATGGACCATTAAATCTATTTTGGATAAAAAAGAAAAGGAACATAAGCTGAAGGAGAGTAAATAGTATTTGATTCATAAGCTGGATTTCTCTATTAGATCAAATAATTTTGTTATGACACTAAGAAATAGAAGCTAGAAATAAACTAGGATGTTTGAAATAGATTATTTAAACTAGGCACAGTTTTTAACTGAGTGCCTATTTTAATGATGTCTTAAAATCTTCCTGAGTACTGACTCCATGCTATTAAAACTTAAAACTCTTTCCCTCTTCCCACATTCTCTCTTCCAAAATTTCCCTTTCTTCTCAGTTCTTAAATTCTACCCCTTCCTAAGTGAATTAACTTGACCCCTTATTTTCCTCTACTGCCCCAACAAAATACTGTATCTTCTTTCACCATTTTGGCACTTGTCATTTCTACTTTATATAATGTGAACAGAGTCACTTTTATTTAGCACTTCATTTTTTCAGGCCCTTTATTAAGCACTTTCTCTATAGCATCCCATTCAAAAC